TTGCATAAATTTCGCACTTATTAACCATAATATCGTTCTTTAATGCAATTAAAACTCCACCACCCGCTCGAGACTTATCGTGTAGCTTGACTCTGTCTCTACGAAACACATTATATCCTCTCAGACCGAGCTCACTGTCCCTTATATCAGGGTAAAGATGGGTTTCAGTCAAACAGATAATGTCAGGTTCCGGTGTTAATGAAACAATAGACAAACGAAAATCACGAAGTTTAGTGCACAGGCCATTAACATTCTGATAATAAAACACAAGACCATTAACCGTTGATCCATGAATTAGTTTTCCGTCGTTCCAGTTCTTCTATTAACCAACATAGGAGAGCCATTTATAAATTTGACCACTTTCGTTGTTGCCGGGTTTGTAGAATTTATACTAGCAGCTTCTGCTTTGAGTTTTTTATACAAAGTTCTCTGATTCAATGTGAGATCCTCAGCATACGAATAATCCTTTGGTAATTTTTTCCAGTCACGTAACACTCGTCTAACTTCCAAGTTACTATTTAGTTTGACTAATATGGGTCTAATAGTCTGCTGATTTCTTACTCCAATTCTATTTATCTTAACCGGAGTAATGTTAACAACTCTCAACAAATTTGTAACCAATGCTTGGTCACTATCCTGAAATGCTTCCGGAACTTTAAAAATCAATAGGTTGCCCTGTCTTCGTGCCCTCTCATTGATTTCCACTATTACTGCTTCAATATTAGTAGTATCACCCATTTCAACCTTCGATAGACGATTTTTGACATCTTGGAGATCATTTTTCATTTGATCGATAATAAGTAAAGAAGTTTTAACTGACTCTCGTTGACTGACTTGACTAGATTTGATACCAATTCTCTAAGCGATGGGTCAATGTTTCCAGATTTTTGACAAACTGCACATCGATAAACCATGCGAGGCTTCTGTTTCAACTCAATAACTTTAATCTCTGTTGCTGTTAATATAATATATAACAAATATCATAGTATATATAATAAATATCAGAGATATTCAAATGATACTAATATTGCCATAGTTCTTCTTCAAATGCCAAATGTGTAATTATGAAGACTATTTTTTGTTACATCCTAGAGATGTAAAAGCTTGGGCAACATGGCTATGACAACTGCAATCATAACGTCTGAATTGATTATGTTCAAGTATAAGAGATATTAGCAGCTGTGAATGCCATTCCGTGCGCGTTATGTATATAGCATATACATAAAATTTAATTCCAATATTGCATGTAAAGGTACATATTAATGAATATTACACTTTGTATGTTTTATGTTTGCATACATATGTATGTATATACACAATGATATACATAAAATATGTTAATATTGCAGATAGAACATATACATATAAATGGCATTGGATGACAGGAAATGTTCTACATTCGTGTGCACCAATATATCTGTCAGTATTTATTTAAAAAATGTGTATGTCACATTATTATTACACATTTTTATTACTGACAGTATATATATATGTGCGTGCGTGCGTGCGTGCGTGCGTGCGTGTGTGTGTGACAACACGATTATAATAGTCGAAGCAGAAGTTTTCTCTGCTTGACATTTGCTCGCGTTGCATACTCCAACTCACTCGGAGGTCCGTTTCAATACGCGCTTACAATGATGTTAGCGCTGTAATATGCTATAGTATATTTCACGTATACTATAGAATTTCAAAGATAAAAACGCGTTTTTATCAATAAAAACACGTACTGAATACGGAATGAGTAGGAGCTATCATATAATTGCATATGATAGATGTAAACAGCACGCGGTCAGCGGCGGCGTACGGCCAGTGACGGCTCGGGGCCAGCGGCGGCGCGCGGCCATCGACGGCTCGGGGTCAGCGGCGGCGCGCGGCAGGCAGAGGGCGTAAGTGAACGGTCACAAATCTGTTATACCGACCTTGATCAAGTTCGGCCGTCGCTTTAGGATCCCCTTAATAATATCTAATCTAGTACGCAAACGCCTATTTAACTGTAACTCTGCTGGTGACTTTTCCGTAGTACAATGAGGTGTCACTCGATAGTGAAATAAATATTTACATAACGCATCCTGTCTCGTATAATCTTTAAGTAACAATTTAAACTTTTTTTTAAACGTACGTACAGCGTTCTCGGCCGCTCCGTTAGACGCAGGATGATATGGTACCATTTTCGTATGCTTAATAGCATTTCGCGATACGAATTCTTTAAACTGTTCGCTCGCAAATGCTGGACCATTATCAGAAACAATTTGATATGGTACTCCCCATGTACTGGTATATTCTTTCACCGCTCTAACCGTGGATTCCGCTGAGATATCTTTCATCTCCTTAAGCGGAGGTTCTCATCTAGGGACCCGAAAATAAGGTAATTTTCTTGAATTTTTTTCTCATGGTAGGATGTAAATTATTAATTCTAGTTTTTTGGCACATATTTATCAAGTATTTAAGTACAAAAATAAATTTTTTCGACGCTTAATATAGTGAAGAAAATGTTTTATGCGTGCTGCAACGTGACCGTGTGAAAACAATGTTGGTTGATTACAGCCAGGATTGCGATCGAACGGATGATCTAAAACGAAAAAACCAAAAATTTTCTTAAAATATATGATATTTGTTGGAGCTTGAACCTATAAAATCGAAAAAATATCGAAAATTGAAAAAATGACATGCATTTGAATTTTAAATGTCGTTTTTTACGTTTTTGTTCGCTCTTCAAAGTGTTATAAAAAATCGAAAAAACATGAAATATCAGTCACATTTAGGTTCATCCTCCAATAAATTCAATTTACTTTAAAATAAAAAAAAGTTTGACCCGATCCGTCAATTAGATCTTGAGAAATCGTGGCTACAGTTTTGAAAAACAGTATTTTTCAGAAAACGCGTTTAAAGTTTTGATAAGGGTTTTCTTTTTGTAAATCGAAAAATAATGTACCTTTCGGTTAATCGGCTATTCCTGGACCATACATTAGGCCTTCCTCCATCTCGTAATGTTTCATTACGAAATTTATTTTTAAGTTCAAATTTCAAAGATATCGACGTAAAATACTCGTTACCGCAATTTTAGTCGATTTTAGTGTAAAAAGGTGGGTTCGCTTTTTGTACCACAACTTTTTTTTTTCAGCCAAACTTTTTCTGGCGTTTATGGGGGCTTATTCTACACATAATAAGTTATCAAAAAACGCAAAAAAAATTTTGACATTTTCGGGTCGAGTTTCATGAGAACCTCCCTTTAACATCAATCCATTTAGAATAAGCGTCTGTTATTACTGAATACATATGGCCCCTAATTGGTCCACAAAAATCTAAATGTATACGATGGTTTGGCCCTTGAGGCCACTTCCAAACATACTTTTAGGAGGATCATCGGCGCTTTCCAAGCAATCTTTACAACTTTTAGTGATCTCCTCTATATCATTATCTAGACCTGGCCACCAAAAATATGATCGAGCTAATGCCTTCATTTTAACTATTCCTAAATGAATTCCATGCAATTCCTCAAGCAATTCAGCTCTTAAGGACGGGGGAATAATAACGCGATAACCCCACATTATACAACCATCCTCCACTGATAATTCTAAACGACGACTTTTAAAAGGCTCAAAACATTTTTCCACTTTATCAGGCCATCCCTGCATAACAAAATCTCTGACTTTACTCAAAATAGCATCTTTACTAGTTCCCTTACGAACCGCTTTACTATCCACATTTTGCAATTCTTCACTTATTGCTTTTAAATAATTATGAACCTGTACATCTTTTGACTCAGTCGTTTGATAAGTATCCTTCATACTAACCCTCGATAAACCATCAGCAGGTCCATTATCTTGACCTTTAATGTACTTAATTGTAAAATCATAACCTGCTAAAATCACTGCCCATCTTTGAACTCGACTAGCCGCCATCTGTGGAATTCCTTTCTTCGGCCCAAAAATATACGTAAGAGGTTTATGATCTGTCTCTAAAATAAAATTACGACCGTAAACATACTGATAAAATACTTTCACTCCGAAGACAAGAGCTAATGCTTCTCTGTCCAATTGCGAATAATTTCTTTGAGCTACTGACAAAACCTTTGATGCATAAGCTATCGGCCTATCCGATCCATCTGGAAGAATATGCGACACCACCGCCCCCAAACCAACAGGAGACGCATCGCACGTAATTTTCAAAGGATAATCTGAACTATAATGTATCAGTATTTCCCTAGATGCTAAACGCTCTTTTGCCTTTTTAAAAGCTAACTCTTGTTCCTTTGCTCAACACCATTTTTTATCTTTCCTAAGAAGTTTATACAATGGGCTCAACTAGAGAACCTCTAGTAGAAGAATCGCCAACTTGGTCACGTGACCAATTACGTGATTGGCTGGAGGAAATGAGCAGATTTGGGCATCTCGACACCAATGCATTACGTCAGAACACATGGCGGCCCCATCATTCGCGATGAAATATTTATGTCTCGATTAAATGGTCCGGGGTCCGGGAACGCCGTCGGGGTACACGAACACGAAGACTGCCACTGCTGGGGTCAGTCTGCCACTCTCTAAATCTCTTCGTATAAGGTTAGTGATCGTTGATCGACTCTAGACACAAACTTCAATACCTAAATGTACATCTCTTATGTAATAAAAGTTTTCTTATGATTTTTTTGCCAATAAACACTTCAATATTTCGTCAAATTTATAACAAATTTAAATAATATTAAAACATAATTACTAACACGATCAACTAGAGCCGATCAACGATCGAGTTGATCACTAACCTTATACGACGAGATTTAGAACGTGGCAGACTGACCCCAGCAATGGCAGCTCTTCGTTTTTGTGTACCCCGACGGCGTTCCCGGACCTCGGACCATTTAATCGGGACGTAAATATTTCATCGCGAACGATGAGGCCGCCATGTGTTCTGACGTCATGCATTGGTGTCGAAATGCCCAAATTGCTCATTTCCTCCAGCCAATCACGTAATTGGTCACGTGACCAAGTTGGCGATTCTCTCTACTAGAGGTTCTCTAGGCTCAACAAATCAGAATAATCCTTAATGAACTTCGAGTAATAATTAATTATACCCAGAAATGACTTAAGTTCTGACAAATTATCAGGTTTTTTCATATTCACTATTGCGTCAACCTTTTTACTCGACGCCTGTATGCCCTGTGCATTTAACTCGAATCCTAAAAATTCTATATTACTTTGTGCAAACGCACACTTGTCTTTACTTAGCGTTAAACCACAATCTTGTAACCTTTTCAAGACATACGTTAAATTTCTATCGTGCTCTTCATGAGTAGCTCCTGTAACTACTAAATCGTCAAAGAAAATAGCTACCATATCCAAATCCTGAAAAATCTTATCCATTTCACGCTGGAATAACCCTGATGCTGACGCTACGCCATAACTTAAACGATTACTTTTGAATAACCCCTTATGAGTTGCTATTGTGACAAGAAACTTTGATTCCTCATCCAACACTACTTGTTGATAAGCCTGAGCTAAATCTAACTTGGTAAATACCGTACCTCCACTTAGCTTTGTAAGCAAATCTGATACCCTCGGAATAGGATGTTTATCCACTAATAAGTGAGGATTTAACGTAACCTTATAATCTCCGCATAAGCGTATCTGACCGTTAACTTTTGATACTGGTACTATCGGTGTTGCCCAATCACTATATTCCACCGCTTCTAAAATACCCTCTTTAACTAAACGATCAATTTCATTTTCAACTTTCGCCCTTAACGCGGAAGGTACTGGTCTTGGTTTACAAAATACCGGACTGACTCCTTCTTTGAGATGCAATTTAAATTTCTTTTTCGTATAACGACCAATTTGATTAGAAAAAAGTGACTCAAACCTTTTGCAAATATCATTTTGTTTTTCGTTCACTGTCCTAACTGACAATTTTTCAGATGCCACATCAAATTGAATAATATCTAAGGCCTTAAGCCAATTACGACCAACAATAGGTGCGCTTTTACCTGATAAGACAAACAATTCAAGAACTTTGCTTCTATTTTGAAAAGTTACCTTAACCTTCAATATACCCAGAGGAACTATTGGATTACCCGTATACGCCTTAAAAGTTCGCAAACTTTTCAACACTTCCGCATTCTCAAACGGTTTAAGCCTATCAAAATCTTTCTTTGAAATTGCCGAAATCGGTGATCCTGTATCTATTTCAAACGACAATGACTTATTATCCACCTCCAGGTTAACTTTCAATGGTTCGATACAACCAATCACATTATTCACGTTAATACCCTTATTACAATATAAATTATTTAGACTATCATTACAGTCTTCCGATTCTTTAACAATGTTCGGATTCACATTTTTAATCTTAACATTACCATTCGCGCGACTTTGTTTTCGTGATTTACCCTTCACGCCTTTGTTTGAAGCCTTAACCTTACGAACTGACAAATGTCCTTTTTTCCCGCACGAATTACATGAATACCCTTTAAAACGACACTCTTTTGCCATGTGACCTTTTTTCCCACAACAAAAACATGTTACCGCCTGCAAAATCTTTTTCTGCTTATTGATAACTTTGAGTGCGTTGTCCGTGCTGTTCACTGGATTAGCCATGTCTGCTGCCTCTCGTTCAGCCATCTCCATACTAGTGCTGATTTCCACCGCTCTGGTATACGTCAACTGTTGTTCAGCCAGAAGTCTCTTCTTGATCCTCTCACTGGCCAGACCCTATACAAACTGATCCCGGATGCAATTTTCCAGCTGCTCTCCAAAGTGACAATGCGTGGAAAGCTTTTTAAGCTTTGCGAGATACGTCTTAATGTCCTCGCCTGTTAGCTGCTTACATTCCTTAAATTTGTAACGCTGTGATATTGTACTTGGTTGCGGCTGCAGATGATTCCGCATTATTTCCGCGAGACGTTCAATTGTGAGATTCGCCGGCCTCTCCGGCGTGCACAGATTACAAAGAAGTTCATAACCTTCGCTTCCCAATAACGTAAGGAACAGCGGCACTTGTTTCTCACCCGGCACTTCGTTACCGGTAAAGTAGAGCACTAATCGCTCGAACCATCTCGTCCAATCTTCTTTCATAGAAAACTCGGAAATACTACCAACTGTACCTCTAACAATGGTGTGAATAACCTGTGGCTCTTCTCTTTTTGATGCTGCCATCAGTTCTGCTCTTACTTGAGCTAATTGCTGACTTTCCATAGCCAACAAACTTCTCTGATGTTCCTGCTGCTTAGCCCTTTCCGCTAAGGCTTTCTACCGTTCCTCGAGATCCTTTTGAAATTTCAATAAGTTCGTTGTCGACATTTTGTTTCTCAACGGTGTCCTTTAGATTGCGCGCTTTTCTTAACCTCGTTTACCTTGCGTCCCTGTGATCGCACGTTTTTAACCTTATCAACGCTGCGTCCCTATGATCTCACGTTTTAACCTTTGTATGCTTGCGTCCCTATGACTGCGCGTTCTTTGTTCAACGCTTGGTTGCATACACTCTGGAATCTTCCCTTCCGATGATTCTCAGGCCCTTTGCCGAAACTGGTTTTTACCTCGTCGCCAATGTAATGTATCTTGTACTAAATGATTAGGTACAAATCAAAAGATGATGATACCACTAAATGATGCACGCTTTATTACTCGTACGGAACGAGGAGAAACAAAACGCTGCCAAGCTGGCGTCCATTACACACACACGAAGCAAGAAGGAATGCGCACGCACAAGCCAATGAACATAAAGGAAAAACGATAGCAGCGCTCACATACAAAAATAACATGAACATATATTACAGTCGCCATCGAAGATCACGTACGTTTGTCCTCGGTTGGTGACTAATGCTGCGTTAACGCGCATTTCTGCGGGAAAGTTCAGGACGGAATACGTTTTCGGCCAACCATTTTTCAATTGAAAACTCGGATAATCTACCATGTAAATTTTATTATTCGCGAACATCACAATTTCTTCTGATGGCCGTTGATACACGGCGTTTATTGAAACGTTCGCCGGAAGAAAACGAAGATAGTCGTTGAGCGCGAGTGGTCGCTTGTACCTTTTACCATCGATGGCTATCACCCATATGCTCCTTCGATAAATGACGAATATGTGATGTTTCAACACCAGTACATTGTCCACGTATGGTAGATCGCACAGATTTTGCGTTGATGTTTTACGCGTGTCTGTAGTTACCGGTGGAGATCGTGTACTTGGTACTTCATTAGGATTTTTTCCATATAGACGTTGAATAGCTAAAATGTCCTCTATACTGAGGTAGCGGATCTATCGGTGACGTAAGGAAACATTAGAGAATCTGCGCGATAATTGTGCGATAATCCTAATGAATGTCCGATTTCGTGCGTTAATGTGTAAAGTAAATGTAGTTTGTTTTCTGACATACTTTCGTTTAATTGTATATGCCAAGGTTCCGCTACGTCTACGTGTATCTCAGTGCTTTGCATGGGGTCGTTCATAGGTGGAAACGCGTGTGCGAGCACTCCACCGGGTCCGTCGAACAAACCGGAATAGATCGTTTCCTTGCGTTTGTTGTCAATGTATGTGTGAATTCCTCCGCGATATGATATCAAAATATCTGGATTTAACGTTTTACGTTCGAATGTTAGAGACGTGTTCGCCGCCCATATTGAGAATGCGTATGTCGCGAGTTTCAATGTATTCGCGTCCGCTAAGTGAAAGTTCCACGTAAGATGTGTTTTTTTCCATTTCACTGTATCCGTATTTTGTTCCTGGAGTGGCATATCCGGGAGTCCACATCGAGGTTTTCGTATTTGATCTAACGTATTATCGTTACCCGGTATTTGATAGTATTCTTGAAATAATGCGATAGCTTCTTTAATTTTTTCATCCTCGATAGACGTGTGAGTAGTAACATCTGCCTCGTTCAGGAAACCGTATCTCTGCAGATATTCTATCACTTCTGTGTTTACGAGATTGTTTATCGTCGGCGTCGACGCGCATACCGTTACGGAAACGAAAGCGACGAGGTAAGCGAGAGACATCGCGGCGTACGTGCACAGCGGAAACGTATTGTTCGATCGTTAATCGCATTCTGCCGAGTATGGGGGAGGAGGAGTGGTACGTGTGTCTATACATAGGCACAGGAAATGAATCGGTAGGAGTGTCAATAAACGTGGTACAGTTCGTTTCAACATTTTTATTTTGTGAAGCATACATTAAAACAGTTAACCTATAATCTTCTAATCGTTATGTTTATTGTTAGATAATTTTATGAATGACATTTGTCAATGGATTGTACTCTATTACTCTAACTTGAATAATTAGACAATAGACCGTGGTGTTCGGTGGAATGTTTGCTCTACATTCGAATTCGATACGAATGTCCACTCTTTGTTGCGCTCTTTACAGATTCGTTTTGACGAGAGCAATCGATCACCACGAGTGGCGCGGACGAAATAAATTGCGCGAGTGATAACAAAGTTTCATTTCTTTCGTAGCCGTAGTATGAGTTGGCAAATTTTGTATACATGTCGTATAGTAATGCGACTTTATTACGTTCGAAATCCACATTCATATCATCGTATGGAAAAAAATCGGAGTTCAAAAAGAGTTTCACGTTGACGAGCGCGCACGCGTCGAAAAGAGTAATATCCTGAGAGAGCCGTCCCATGGAGCGTTTCTCAATACGTACGTATTGACGGATCAATGCGTTGACCAATCACCGACGATCCGTCGTTTTGCTTACGGAAAACTTTTGTTGCACTGTCCCATGCAGCGGATCGAACGTAAACGGATGATCGGAGCACCAATTACGGAATTTTTCCGCTAGATCCGTTTACAAAATAACCTTAAAAGTTGTTCATAATTGGTGATCCGCTGAACCGTATACGTAAAATGTGTTGCATGGGACAGTGGAAAAAAAATTTAACGGAAGCTAAACGACGGATGACATACATATATAGATTGTATAATGTAAATATCGAGTAAATAATCTTAAAGAAAACAATTCAATTAACTACGTCATTGTTAATTAGTTGCCTCAAGTAAATGTAATTGAAGTTTGTGATATAAATATCGAAGATTGACGAAAAGGTAACACATATCCATAATTGTATTATAGTAAAATATGTACTAAGAATCGTATATTATGTATATGATTTTTTATTATGCCATAAACATGATGTTCACAATAAATTATTAAATACTTTTCTAAACAAAAATTAATATTTGTGTATAATTTTGCAGAAAAACATGGATAATACAGAAAACATATTACTTGCCATGGGAACGATAGCGCATCGCTTCAAGCGATGTAATCAACCATCTGTAAAAAGAAGATTACGTCGAAAGCTTCTGCAATTATATGCTTTGTACAATGTTTTAACTAAAAATGGCTGTCAAAAAAAAACGACAGTTTTGAGTAAGGATGATATTTAGTGAGCAACGATGTCTACTGCAAGGAGCAAGCAATAACTTAGTAAAAGAGATGCAGCAAAATGATGAAGGAAAATTTAGGAACTATTTTCGGATGGATTCTGTTGTTTTGAAGAAACTATTTGATCTTGTAGGGCCATTGATAACAAAGAACAGTAATGTCAGAAAGGCGATCTCAGCTGAAACACGTTTATACATAACTGTGCGGTACCTTGCTTCCGGAGATAGCATGGTATCCATCTCGTATGTTTTTCGCGTTGCTCACAATACTGTGTCAAAAATAATTCAAGAAACGTTTGATGCAATTTGGTCAGTTTTAAAGGAAAAAGTATTTATGAAGGATATTCTGAAGAGTTGGCAAAATGTTGCCCAAGATTTTGATGATATGTGGAATTTCCCAAACTGCATTGGCTGTATCGACGGCAAGCATGTAGAAATACAGGTATGTTGTTTAATATAAATAACTGTAGTTTATAACCAATTTATTTTATTCATGACATAACCAATTAAATATATCCATCTTAGCAGAATATCATATCAATACAAAGTATACCAGTTTCAGGATTACTAGTTTAAGCAATATTTGTTTTGGAATTGCTGAAAATTCGAATGTTTGTTCATTTGCAATAGTGCAAACATAATTTACTGTTTATAAATTAATTTTGTTTGTAATCATAATTTTGTGTCACATTTCTGTATCGCAGACAATAAATGTAACTAAATTGACGATATAAGTTTGAAAAGTTTGCCTAATATATAATATTATTCATATTGGGCGCGTTCAGCGGACTTAACAGTTGAGTGAGCGCTCGCTGTTATTGGTGTATTCTTTTAGATCATCAGAATTTTAGATCTAGAAGAATACACCAATAACAGCGAGCGTTCATCTCAACTGTTGAATCTGCTGAACGCGCCCATTTTTAATATGGTTTTATTGCAGGCTCCACCAAACAGTGGGTCACTTTATTATAATTATAAAGGGCGTCATAGTATTAACCTTATGGCTATCAGTGATGCGAAGTATAGGTTTACTATGGTCGATATCGGAGCATAAGGCAGAAACAGTGACGGAGGAGTTTTCCGAAATAGTATAATGGGCAAATATTTTGACGAACAACAATTCCAGATCCCAAATGGTGAACGATTGGAAAGCAATGGGCCTGTACTGCCATACGTGCTTTTAGGTGACGAAGCATTTCCTCTATCACGATACATGATGCGACCGTTTCCCCGGAGTAGCAATTTAGATTTAAGAAAAAAAGTATTCAATTATAGACTAAGTCGAGCACGACGCGTAGTAGAGAGTGCATTTGGAATTCTTGTTACAAGATGGAGAATATACAGAAAATCGATTATTGCAAGTGTAAAAAACGCACGAAGAATGATCAAGGCTACAATAGTTTTACATAATTTTATAATAGATTCAGAGGAAGAATTGTATTCGAGGATTTATTATACACGCGTCAGTGTTGAAACTCAAAATATGAATTATGAACTGTCCTCACTGGAAGAAGAAGAGGCTGAAGAAGAAAATAACAGTGGCATAGAAGTTCGCAATGCATTCGCAGACTTTTTTATAGGTGTTGGTCAAATAGAATTTCAGTGGAGAAAGGCTATATGAATAACGATTTTTAGCATACACTATCGATTTTTGTGACATTTACAGTTTTATGTGACTTTTTGTGTACACAGTGTGCGGTACATTTTTTATACGGTATTAAAAATGTGTTAAGAAGAAAAATCAAATAAATTCCTATTCTTTATGAAAAATTGCTTGTATAATTTTTCTACAAGTTAAATTATTAGTAAATTCGATAAAGAAATTCAATTAACAGTTTTATAAAGATGAGAATGTTTTACATATAATTATGTGGACCAAATTTAAACAATATTGCACAGTTTTCGATTTCATTCTCCCGTATTGCCCTACCCTTAAGATAAAAATTTCGTAACAGTATTTATATATAAAAAGCTTTTATTCTGTATGAAGACATTAGAGACATCTCGAAAAGATTTTCTTCACAAAAATGTCAACACTTTTTGCATAAACAGGACATTACAATGTGTAATCTTTTATCTTTATTTTTCCACCGCGCATACGTATCACATTTTCTTGTTCAATGACTCCCCCAAAACGATGCTTCAGATTTGATTATTATATTGCATTTTATATGTATAACATGTCGTTATAAAGTTTATTTTGAAATGTATAAATATATATCAATATATTATAATCAATAGAGTTAAAAGTACTACTAATAAGATTTAAATCATTTGAAATAATCATATAGCACCAAACATTAAGGAGGAAAATACATTTAGGCAATTCTTTTTTTAAATTAAAAAATAGCGGACTTACAGTAGTCTGTGCGAAGCGAGTTGTCAAATGGATTTCTCAAATCTAACAATAAACAAACAAAAGACAAGTAACAATAAACTTTATCTTAACTTTAAAAATAATCGGATAATCCTTTCCTTTAAAAAAATTTACGAAAATTTGCCTTGTTTTCATTCGCCTAAATATATTTTTTAAACGATAAATAGTTCTGATTCTAGGTCATATAGTTGCGATAAGATCCGAACTTCAAATGCATGTCTCTTGCGTACCGGGAGAGCTCGTAATCGATCTCCAATTTGTAGGAAAAATCCATTAACAGCGTCCTGTTTTGACTGTGGTTCCGAATCAAGAGCAGCAAGAATTGCTTTTTTTATGTCACTATCCTCATCGGCAATTTTTCTTTCTGCACAAATATAAATAACAGATAAAAACATTACATCATTATTTGCATAATGTCAATAGTCAGTACATTATTACAGAAATTACTTTTTGAAGCTCGTTGATTAAGTTTTGAATGTGAAGGCTCGTCGATAGACCCAAATTGGCTACTTACAGAAATATTTGATGTTTCGGAAATGGAAATCTCGGAACTTGCTCTGTGTTCTTCACAGGCAATATGTGTTTCTTCAATATCAAAAACAGTGTTATCTTCAAAATTACTGTCAGTGCTACACATATAAGTACGAATATTAGTATCATAACTTGACGGAACGTTTTGTACGGCTATGCAAAATGTTACTAACAGTTCTTTGTACATAACTTAAATTTTACTAATGTTACCTGACATCAATCCCCATGCAAGAAAAATAATCTAACCTAAGGGCAGGGTAGATTGAAAAATTAACCTACATATCATTACAATATCATAAAAAAATATTAATAATATTATAATATTAATAATATTATTAATAATTATTAATTGTAATATAATATTAAAAGATTATAATAGATTTTATATTAATACAATATTTGCATAAAATTGATTTTTTAAATTATTGAAGTATTAAAATTTAATTTTTTGCTATTGTTTATTGTTACTTCATGTAATTATGTATATTGAAAGAAAAATATTTGCCTCATCCACAAAAAACTATCCGTTATTTTCGTCATTTATACCTATTCTGCACCTTCTTACAATGAACTTTTTATCAAAAAAGTATGTAATTTAAACTACATATGAAACCATGAAAAAGAACAGTAAAATTATTGTTTTTTTTTTGTATTATGTCACAGAGATAAAAAAAGTAAATGAATTGAAAGTTTAAAGGACTCTATTATTTTTAATAATAATTCACACCTTAAATAAGGCGAATAAGAGTCAAATTACAATATGAAATCTAATTTTGATAACTTATTCTAATATTATATATTGCGAAGAATATCATGTAATTTTTGGCGTTTCGTCCCGGCTTCCACTACTGGACTCATCAGTAAGGCAATGTAGTGGAAGCCTACCTTAGACGCCTGTTTAAGTTATTAGATCGAGAATCTATATATACAGATATACGCGTATCCAAGCACTTGCGAGAATCTTTGCGAATATCTATAGACCTCTGATGGCGAGTCGACGTAGTAATATTCTTCGCAATATATTTATTCAAAGTAATATATGTGTTAACCTCCCACCCCCCCCCTCCCAAATTGCGCGCCGAAAGGATTTCGGACTTGCAACGCAACTCTAATCATCTGAAATATCCC